CTAAAACAAGAAATGTGGGCAAGAAATCAAGTTTGAAGCAGATATCATGTCAGAACCCCACATATTTGCCTGCGCAAAGGACTGCACAGAATACCCATTTCACAGAAGGCAAAGTGAGAATGTCCAACAAACACACACAATCTGCACTTACACAAAACCAGCTGGAACACAAACCTTGCCAACTCAAGCAGACAAGCACACCAGCTCACATGCACGCAAAAGTACATGCCCCATCCCACTGCAGTGCCCTGGATGGCATCCATCACCCGCAACTCGATTTTTCTTTCTCCTGCATTCAGTGCTGTGTCCGATCCTTTGTAAAACGAGTCAAATAGATGGAAGAGAAGCAAACCAGCAATATTTATTAAATACAGAGTGACAGCAAGGCAATCAACAAATTATTACACGTGTAAGGCAGAACACTTTGAAACTGTGCAGTACACAGTTAGAACAATGCAGTTTACCTCATCCTCTGAAAACTTTTTCATAGGCCTTCTCCCTTCTCAGGGCTGGGAATTTTCCTCCCAACCTTCATACCAAGATGCAGCTCAAATATTTGTCCTTGGCCTGGTTCCTTCTTGTTCTCTCTTATCTAGGAGCAGATTCTCCTACAACTACACACACCAACACACACACGTTTCCTCTTTAAACCTGTATTTTTAGAGCAAAGGAGACACCCTCTTCTCCAACACACAAAATACCCATTCCACAGAAGGCAAATTGGGGCTGTCCAAGAAACACAAACAACCCCCATGCACAGATGCATGTGTGCACACACGTACAGCCAGCTGAAGCAGAAACAACAAGCCAATTAGTTAATGCACACAAAAATAATTTGCCCTTGCACCCCTTTCCACTCTAGTGCCCAGGGATTTTTCTTTTTCCTGCATACAGTACTGGCTCCATGTTTTCGAAGATCTGTGGGCAAGGCCCTCCATGTTCTTCTTCAGCGTTGCTCCTGCTTGCTTGCTGTGCATTCAGAGGGCTGGGGCACACATGGGCAGAAGAGCAGGAGCCCATGCAGGCTGCAATGGGGAAAGGAAGCTGCGATTCCAGGAGGCCAGGAATGGCCTGCTGCTGGGGTGAGGCCCTCTGCAGCTGCCTGACCAGGCCAACCTGTGATGCTGGCCTTGCTGGGGTGGTGGGTGGCGGGCACTAGGGCTGCGGCCACAGATTTGGGAATGCCTCTGCAGAGGCTTTCTTGGATGTGAAGACTGGACTGGAGGCCAGCATTTCATTCCCAGTCATTTCCTTTAATAATCACCACCACCATCATAAATCAATACTAAAATCAGTGAAATAGCAAAATAATTAAAATCAGGAGGAGAAGGGAGCATAGTAGGCTCCAAGAGAAGGGTCCATGGGCGTCTTGCAGACCACCGATCTAAGCCAATGTGATATAATCTATATCCTATCGCAGGCCTTGGCCAGCCCACATACAAAAAGCCAGAGAAGGCAAGAGAGTTTATTGGTATTAAAGGTACGGTACACATGCAGACCAATAGGAGGAGACACAGTGGATTGCCCAGGTATCTGAAATGCAGGGCCCTTCAAATGGTGCGTGTCTTTGACTAGGCCCTTGGGAAGTGAGGAGAAGCATCCCGGGCACACACACTGCAGGACCCAGGAGCAATAACTGAGATCAGGCTTCCCTACCCTGGTGCTCTCCAGATGCACTGGACTCCGATCGAACTTAGTAGCACAGCCCATGGTCAGGAATGCTGGGAACTGCAGACCAGCACATCTGGATGACCCCAGGTAGGAGAGGGCTAGTTGCTTCCTGCCTCTGAGGGGCCTGGGGCAGCACTGGGCTAAGGGAAGGAAGGATAAATAAGCCACACTAACTAGGGCTGGTGCAAGTTGCATTCAACACACTGGGAAGGCAGAAGGTGGGAAAATCCATTTTCCACATGGCTGGAAAGACATATATGGTTGAATTGTAGTCCATGTTACTGATGGTGAGCCATTTGGTAAGCCGTCCTGAGGCTTGCTACAAAGGACGGCATATAAATGTTTAAATTAAATCAAATTCTTGACGACTTGCAGCCTTTCATTTCAGAAGGACCTCTCTGACTTTTCCCCGCTCAAAAAGTCTGCTTATATCACAGTAGAACACGAACAAAAGCTTACAGCAGCAATTCCAATTCAGTTATGCAGTGAACTGCATGTTTAACCTGTCATAACTTGTATGCTACTCTGTTGGCTGGTCCTGCTCAGAAATCTTGCTCCTGAAATTGTATGTGTTGGAGGCAGAGACATTCAACCATTCTCTGTGAGTGCTGGGCCAGTGGTGCCTAAATTGATATCCTTCTGCTGCTTGTAAATGTAAAGCTGCAAATCTTATTCTACAGTGCCTGCAAACCAGTGGTTTAGAATCAAAAGGAGAAACCCCACTCCAGTTTTGCACATGAATGTATGTGCACATTGAATTTAGCCACCTTCTGCCTTAAGAACAGATTGTCTTGAGGCAGATGAAAAGTCATGGCTCTAGGACCTGAACACTTTGCAGCTTCTGTGTCATATTCATTGGCCGCAACCTTTAAGGAAGCTTCTGGAAGTTTCCTGCCCTTTCCTCCTGCCAGCAACCCTGAGAAGACTCTCCAGGGGGCTGGAGCTCTCCTGAACAAGATGGGGTAGAGCTCAAAGGGCTGCTGGTGGAGGGAAAATATCCCAAATTTGATAGTGCTTTGCCTGGTTTTGCAGACTTTCTTATCCCCGTTCCCCCCCCCCCCCACCCCAGAAGCCCCCTATGCCACATCCCATGTCCCACTAGCCAGAGGCCTGGCCTTCTGTGATGGGAAAGGTGCCACGTGGCAGGTGGGGGACACACACTTGCCTGCTGTTCTAGCTCGTACCTGAGCAGTTGTGTTGTGCGAAGGCTTCCCCACTGCTCTCTGCAACTGGAGAGAGCAGCAAGGATTTCTTGGGGCAGGACTTTGAGACCAAGCCTTGGAGGAACTCTGGAAGGCTGTGGGCCAAGTGAACAATCTCTGCTGGGTGGAGGCTGCCTACCCCTCCTCTGAGGAGTGGGTCTATCCGCATGGATGGCCCAGGAGCTGAAATGCATTTTATGCTAGCCACAGGGAAATGTCTGGCCTCATACACTGGGAAAGCATGTGGGCTACTCATACGTTGGTGACTTCCAAGCTGAGAGCATCCCTACAACCATTAATTTATGAGATGCAGGTTACCAAATACTTTGGCTAATAGTCTCCTCTGTGGCTATTTTTTTCTTGAAAAAGCTCCTTGCATCAGCTTCTGCCTGCAGTGTAGGAATGGCCCTTTCGCCTGTTCTTGTAAGGAGTGTTCCAAGGATTACTTAGACAAGGCACTTAAAGCACTCTGGAAACTTCAAAGTGCCCATCTAAATGCTTAACCTTCTGCACAAAGGAATCAGGGAGTTCACATCTGAACAAGTCAGATCAGTGAGCCTGCAGGCCAGTTTGCCTGAAACCAATGACTCTGCTGGCTGGGAGTAATGGGAATTGCAGTCCAACATATGTGGTGCAGCATCAGGCTGGGGGAGGCTGCTACAGATCTTTAGCTAGCAAATTGTTGACATTTCACAGGGATTAGAAACAGACTCAGAGCAAGCTTCTTGCACAAAGAAGGTTATCAATTCAGCCAGCCAGCCAGCCTGGAAGTTTAGGAATTTATGAGCAATTTTGTTTATGGTTGACAAAAAAGGAGAGTGCATGGATAGAAGTTTGCATTTTTTGCAGAAATCCTCTCTTCTAGATGTAACAGGATAGTGTAGAAATACAACTTTTAAATGGTTTTTCCAGCTCTGTCATCTTTACCCAGAAGGCCCTATTGCGTTTAATAGGACCTGCTCCCAAGTATGTGTGTTTAGGACTGTGGTTTAAAGGAAGGAATTGTCCCAGTACATCTGGCAGATACATCCATTGACCTAATCTTCTCTTTTGCCTTCAGTTTTTTGTTTCCACATGGCTAAAAAAAGGAAAAAGAAAAAAAGGCGCATCTAGATAAACCCTTTTAGGTGGGGGGCTTGTTTGTACTGCTTTGTAGAGAGACCCTCATACACAAAACTGTTTCACAGATTACAATGGAATGTTAACTTGTTAGATTCGTAAATCTAACCGGAGGAGGGCTTTCTCTGCGGTGGCGCCCTACCTATGGAATGCGCTTCCCAGAGAGGTTCGCCTGGCGCTGTCGGTATTTGTTTTTCGGTGCCAGGCTAAGACCTTTTTATTTAAAACTTAATTTTTAATTGTTTAATTTATTGTTAATTGTTAATTTATTGGTTATTTATTGGTTATTTTAAATCTTTTAAGCCGAGATGCACCAGGTTTTAATATTTTTATTGTATAATTTATATTTGTATATTTTGTTCTTATTGTGAGCCGCCCCGAGGCTTTGTTGTGATGGGGGCGGCATTAGAAACATAGAAAACAGAGCGAGTCAGAATGGGCGTCCCGGGCCATCTAGTCTGACCTCCGGCACCAGCCAGCTTCGCTCACGACATGCCCACCATGTGGACGTCCAGCCTATTCTTGAACACCTGCACCAAATGTTTTAAATGAATGAATGAATGACTTAATACAGAAGATTGTGTTTCTAGTCCTCATGGCACAATGGAGGTTAAATGCAGCAGCTCTGCTTAGACAGTGTTACTAGCAGCTACTGATGTGATGCAGGTGCCAGCCATGCATGTACAAGCAATGTGGATGGTTTTTTCACATTACCTGTGGAGGGGGCTGATAGGCATTTGGTCAAGCATGCCCGACCTTGCTCCCACCCTCCGCCTCTTTGGCAACCATTGCTCTGTGGCGTGAGTAGGTGCCATCTTTGGAGACTGCAGCAGCTGTAACCACTCACTCCTCTGCCCAGTTTGCGGAAAATACACCGTGGCTGGTTCTACCCACCTCAACACAATCCACTCTTACCCACCCCTTTCTCTGGTATGCAATCCAGGACCCTCATTTGCACACCCATTTTATGAAAAAGCTGGTTAAGCACTGAACCAAGGACAGCCACGATTCTTTTTAAACTGTTTATTGTATAATATAAAACTACAAAAGTAAGACTGCTCATTTTCATGTAATTTGCCCAACGGTTTGTTTGATTACAGCCCATACCTACAAGTGAATACAGTAATCTGGTTTCAGATGTATATGTCTGTAATATTGCATAGAAAAGGCACAGCTCTAAGGTCTGTGGTTCGGGGGGAAGGATGGGGGAAAGAAAATACAACCTTTTTGACAGAGAAACACGCCTTGTCTTTAAACAACCGTGCACCAAATGTGTCCTGACTATTTACACCTCCCCCCACTCTGGAATCTCTGCCTGGAGAGATCTTGTATGGATTACACTGTTAAGCATCTACTAGGTTTTAAAAAATTGGTTTAATTTAAAATAAAATCCAAAATTTGCATTAGGATTATTTTTAGCATAACAATGAAAACAAAAGGCTATAAAATGAGCTAAAATTCCAAATAAAAGTTCAGCCATTATATTATAAGCACTGAAATATTAATAAAAGCAAGATCCTGGTTTGTATGTGTTTTTTGTTCTTTTAAGAGACAAAATTACATTCTAGAGCCAATGAACCATTTTCTCTGGAGAACTCATTTACATTTGCTCAATTTTTTTTCAACTGTAAACTTTAGATTCGTAAGTCAGGTTCTAGAAGACAACAGGAGAATCACACTGTACAGTTCATTCCCAAACTGGCCAACTTGACAAAGGGTGATCTCATTTCTCTTGCAGCTGGCACAGGCAACTGGAGACACTAAGGATGACACTTGGGGCAAGAACTTTCTGTATCCTTCCTGCATGTGATGGTAAAAATTTTTTACCAGACCAAGTCCCTGGAACAGCAAGTGTGCTGCATGGTCAGGGGACTCAGTGCATAAGGATGCTGCACACCCACAGCTTCTGCTGCGCCCCATCCTGCCCAGGAAGTCGCCTTTTCCTCCCACACAGATCAACTGCTCTGCAGAAGGAAGCAGGGAGAGCTCAGATGATACTGAGGCATTCCTGCTACTATGCATCAGAGCATCTACCCTCCAAACTGATTAGTCCAAGAACTTCCCCAAAGAACCCTGCAAACCATAATGCAGGGACGGCCCTGATGCCTGTTACTTCTCAACAGAACTATTTCCCAAGGAAGACCTGGTGGAGGTCAGCACCTGCCTGCTTAACTCTGTCTGTAGCTTAGATGCACTGGGTGCTTTCTGCGTTCTTGCCAATAAGGTGTCTGCCAAGAAGGTGGAAGTGATGCATTTTGGTTTCAAACCAGTAGAAAAGCACTTCTGAGAGAGTCCTGTGAATCAGAACTGCTTTATCCTGTCCCACAGCATCTGTAAACCACTGCAACATTTGTCTGATTCTCTAAATTTGTGCCAACAATCTCAGGATTAAGCCTCCTACTGACACCCACATTAACGACTTCCTTTCAAAAGAAAGAAAAAGTGGAAGCAAATGCTCATACGTGTAAACATACTTAGTATATTTACACATGTACGTAGGTTTTGTTCGGCGCAAAATCCTGCCAATTGCCCACACAGGATCCAAGGTCCAAGAAAGTTGATCTCTGTAAGCCATGCATCATTCAACAAACTAGTAGCTGTGCAATTCACATCTGGGAGGCAGTGAAGAATCCACTGCGTCACGGGACTCCGCTTTCCAATTGCAGCTTGCTAGCTTCTGCACTGCTCGTTTTGTGCAGAGCCCCTGCAGACTCCCTAGCAGAGGACTGGATGCACACAAAAAGGGCTTTACATTTGCCAGCAGATTAGTGATAGGCTTCTTCTAACACCGCTCCACAAAAGGCTGTGCTTTTACTAGCACCGTATGCAGCACTTAAGATGGTCCAAAGCCTTTTAAAGGATGCTTTGTAAAGATGATGTTGTCTTTGAAGCAAGCCTACTAGATCACCTTAGCCAAAAAATTCTATATATATGAAGAGCAATCTTCTGTTGGTTGACTGTGGCTCCCAACCCCACTCTGACCCCCAGACATAACGGGGTGGCCTTTCCAAATTAGACGCTCAATCAGAAAAGGGAGCACCTTACAAACTGATGTGTACGTGAGGCTGTGCTGATAGAATGAGCAGCTCTGCACAGGCCCACTGGGACTCCTCAGTAGGAAAATGGTGCCTGAGCCCTGGCTTGCAGGAATCCCTGGAGGGAGACAGAAATGCCAAAACTGAGCACGCTCAGTTACATCAGCAGGCCTACTCGGATGCCTGAAGCTGCAGTGCTCCTGGGAGCTCCATCCAGTTCAAGCTACTAGTGTGTGAATATGCTGCTTCAGGTCTCTAAGGCTGCATTCCTACACACACTTACCTGGGAGGAAGCCCCTTTGAACTCAGTGGGCCGTGAGCGGGCATGTACAGGATTGCGCAAAACATGCAAGAAGATGGTACGGTGAAGGCTTGCTGGAGCCTAGGGTGTGCTCAGCAAATTTAAAGAGGATCTGGCCCTTTCAAAAGTAACCACCAATACCAAACAATTTGATCTGTACAATTAAGTTTATAAACTTTTTTGCATAATTCTCATCGTGGAGAAAAGCAGGAAGGGACCTGGTGGTGATGGTGGGGAATCTTCTGAATGTCTCCTGAATCTTAATGTCCAGTTAAGGACCCCCAAACCTAACTTTCATCCCCCTCTTGCATGGATTTATAGTCCTACAAGAGAATACATTCCTACCATACATTCTGTACATGTTACAATCCAGATGTTGTTAGCTTCACAATAAAATAAATATATTTACAAAAGGAAAATAAAAGGAATAAATAACTTACGAAAAACAAAATGGAAAAAAATCACTTCAAATTCAAAAGCTTTTTTTTTTTAATTCTGCTCCCTTCTTGTCACTTCATTGCACGTGAGTGTCACTAACATTTCCACAGCATTTATGGATGTTTGGGGCAGTGAGGGAGAAGAGAAATCCTGGCCTGTTAAATTCTTCCAGTGGTGGAGTCACACCGTAGGAGCAGAGAAGATATCCAAGGGCAGAAGTATTTCAAGTGATACTTGCAAGGACCATAATGCAAAGTATAAAGCACAAGTCATCTGGGGACATAATTCTATGCAGGAGTTGCACTGCTTACCACAGCTGCCACCTATTTGCCCCAGATAACAATGCTCTAAGAGGACTCCAGCTGCAAAATTTCTGAGGGACTTAGACTAGTGTTTGAAAAACAAACAGACTGCTTTGCTCAAAAATGGCGTTCATTTGAATTCTTTCCCAACATATGGTACTTGTTTAAATACTCTTTTAGTGAGTCCAAAGAAGGGGGCAGTTGTTTCTAAGCTAAGTGTAAAATCAGATTTTAACAATGGTAAGGTGAATGTTTGTTCGCACTGTTGGTTCTCCCCCTTCCCAGTCCTTGTAACGGCATAGAGATTTCAGCCTGAACCTCCGAAGTTTAGCAACTGTATGACTGCTGCACTTGTGGAGCAACCTGATGTACCTGACACTTCAGGTAACAACACTCCACTGCTTGAGGATCTGGACCCAGCGTTGTGCCTAGCAGTCCCTCAACCTCTCCAGCTGACCTAGCAGGCTGCAAATCAGGTGGCTCCTTTGTGAACTGCTGATATTTTACACATGATGAATGCCAACTGTGTCTGAGTCAGTGGACTTGCAAGAATTTCTGTGGGCAAGTCACAGTTATAGTTATTGACAAGGCCAGATGCCAACACTACAAGAATTTATGTGATGAGCTCTTTTATCATTGTAATTTCTACAGCACTGGTCAGGCACATGGTACTTTCAAGAACTGGCCCAGGCCCAGAGTTGCTTGCAATCTAAATTGTAACATTCCAGTTTTTCTCCTTTCCCGCATCACTACCAATATGGGCAAAAATGTTCTATCAGAAGAACATGCAGCATCAATTATTTCATGACCACCCTGTTTTGAGTGAGTAGGGGCATGATCCTGTGCATGTTTAGACAGGGAAAGTCCTACAATGTCCAGCAACCATGACCGTTTTTTTCTTCTAAGCACAGCACAGGATGGCTGTGCCCTTAGACTTTTCAAGGTATTAAAAACTGATTGACCAATTAGGATTTAATTGCTAATTATGCTATTTGGCTTAGAGAAGCAAGTCTCTAATTGCAAGGTTGATTTGTAGAGGAATGAAGAGCTGTGTGTGCATTACACATAATACATTAAAAGTATTTTAAATAAATAGATACGGCCTGTTCTAAAGTGCCAGTTTTACAAAGCTGCCTTCTTAAAGGCAGACAAGACCCAATTCCTTTTATCCATGACAAGAAGTGAACAGAACTATTGCCAAATTACATAAAACATAATTTAAAAATTATTAAATAAATATAAAAGTTATTCCTAAAGAAGCCATATGCATATCAACAATATAGTTTGTAACCTGCGCTCTTAAGTACCATTTCAAATTAATATGCCATAGCAATTTGAGCAACAGGCATGATAACATTGCAAGTTTTCTTTCAAATAAATGTACATCACATGAATACCGAGGGGAAAAATTGCAACAGGTGCAGTCATGAGAAGCCTTCAGAGGGAAGGGAACACGCATAGAGAGAGCTGCAGTTGTCTACACGTTGTAAAACAGGCCTTATAATAAAGTGTGAAGCAGGTAACACAGGCGATCCAAGAAACCGACCCTGGCAAAGACACCAAGTGTTCATAACATGATCAGCTCCAGTTCTGACAGCAAAGGATATCCGAGCAAGTCCATCCAGTGCCGGCGAGAGATGATTTCACTGCAGTAATACTGAAGTTGCCTTTTTTCAGCACTTGTCAATACAGTGAACAGCAATAATGTTCCAAGCAAAGGGCAAGGGTAATCATAAGCCTAATTCAAAGGAATACGGTAAATTAGCATTACACCGTAAGAGAGACAGAGGGACACTTCCCCCCTTGTCCTAAACACATTTCCTTGAAAGGAAACTCCATTGACTTCAATGCAACTTTCTTTCAAGTAAGCATAGTTAACATGCAGCCAAAGAAGAATTATTTTCTTTAAAACAGAACAGAACAAAAAGAAGTAATGAACAGCTTCAGCCACACTTGTAGGGATGCGGCCATCCAAAACCAATACCAAATGATTTGATGGCATTCTAAAAGGAGATGAACCCACAGTGGTCGCAACACAAAGTCCATTCTACCTCCCTAAGTAAGTCCTGCTCAGTTCAATGGGATTTACTCACATGTAAGCAGGTAGAGCACTTCTGCTTTCAGCCACGTGTTTTTATGACTTTATTTCTAGGTTTCTGCTCTGTGAACAGAAGGGAAGTCGTTCTCACAAAAAGAGTCTTCCAGGAGCACGACTCCCCTGCCGTGAAAGGAACAAACAGGTAGAATTCAAGCCAACAGGCTTAGGGACACTCAGCCTTGTGTTGGATTGTGACTAAAGTCTGGCCTTCAATATATTTTTTTAAACGTTTCAGAATTTTAGTATTGATCATTTTGAGGGTAGGAGTGGGAAGAAGGAAGAAGTTTAATCAAAAAGAAGTTTCACAGCTATTTCCCGCCAACTGTTTGACATCAGTGTTGGAATATACATGGCTCTAAGGTTTTTGTTAATCACAGTAGTACACAGCAGGGAGTAAATATTTGTGAAACTTTTCAGGGAAGAGCCCTTGGCCTTTTCCTTCAAGCATGTGTGTCTGGATTCAGGGAGCCCAAGTGTAGATTGATTTGATCCAAATTTCTCTTTGCACCATTATACACATAAAAAACACTACATGTCTGTATAAAACTACAAGCAGTTCTTGTACATCAGAAGGTGTATGCAGAAACTGGGTGAGCAAATCCTACCAAAATAGCTATTTCCTTTTTTGTGTTGAGTATAAACAGCATTTTTTTCCTTTTTCTTTTTTTAAGAAAGATCCCCAATATCATAAATTGCACAATCTGTACAAAAATATAAAATAAATTTGGATAGCAGTTTCTAAAGAGCCATGTAAATGCAACATTTAAAGAGGAATAATGAATACCTCTAAAAAGGCTGAATTGCTAAGTCAACCTAAACAGGTCTAAAATGCCAAAAAAGTACTGCAATTATCTAAATAATATTTTAAACCTCTTGCAATAAAACTTATAGAAAAAATAGACAAATATGCACATGCAATTTACAGCTTTCCCGCAACATAATCCTTGTGCTTAGCTTTTACAATTCATTTTTTGTCAAACATATTAATATTGTTTACAATATGCATTTTTTCCTATATCAGGATTTCAGGTCTCCCTTGTGGAACCACTTTCAAAAATACATTAAAAGTGGTCATACATGGATGAAGGCACTCCAACTCTGCTTGAAGCAAAAACTAGTGTGATTCTTTAACAAAAAGAGACAAGCAAAGATACATGCACAGTGGGGTGAGTGTGTTTGTATGGGTGCGTGTGTGTGTGTATCTGGGCAGATCTGTCAAGGGGGATGGTTGTGAAAATACTACCAAGTGTTTAGAAAGTTACTTTTAAGACCCAACAAGCACCTCCATTATATGATCCAGTTCTGTAAGGTCCATTTTGAAAGGCTGACTGGGGGTTACTGGCTGGGTGCTGTAGGGAGCCAGAGTTTTGAGGAGGTCGTCTGCGGAGACAGGAGCCATTTTTGAGGCAGCTCCAGTCGAAGATGTGCAAGGATCAAAATCATACATAGAAGTATCAATGTCAGCAAAGAGAATATCATCCAAGGTCAAGTCTGTAAGAAAACCTGTCGAGGTTGTGATCTCAAAATTACCAGGTAAAGAGTCCAGTAATTTAGGCTCATTTACTCTGCTCTCTTGGGCTCCCTCGGGCTTCTGGGTGCTGGATTCACTGGCATTCTCTTTAGGATTCTCCGACACTCTGGTTTCTGCTGTTGCTGCAGCTGCCACTGCCCCAGCGGAGGTAGGTGTTGGACAGAGCTCCTCAATTTCGTCCAAGGCTGAGGAGAAGCTGTCCTTTACTGGTTGGATAGTTGGAGGTGGGAGCTTTGTAGGACCATCTGGCGGGATAGTCTGGGAAGTGCAAAAAGTGTCCTCCTCAAGCAGAGAGGCAGGGGTGAGGCAGGACTCCAGGGGCGTAGTGCTTGCTGAGTCTGTGGGGTGCGCTGGCGGAGATGCCAGATGGCTAAAGGCAGGCTGAACCTCTCGGAAGTTATCTCCAAGAGGATCCGTAGGCTGTGAAGTAGTGATGAACACAGGCCTCAAGCTGCCTTCCTGCTTGAGTTCCTCCTGGATTCGCCGCAACATGTTGTTAATTAAAACTGTCTTTTGCAGGCTGGGCTCGGTTAATGGCCTATGGTTATAAAGTTTCATAAGGGAAATGTTGAAGATAGTCTGGCGCTGTAAGGTGTAGGACACCTTAGATGGACCATCAGTAGGAGACACAACTTTGCCTTCCAGCCCATCTTCATGCTCATCAAACTTCCGCTTTCCTCCTTTCCCCAACATATATCTGAAAATAAAGGGATAAAGGAAAATTGTGACCAATTAAACACACTTGTGCACATTTTGCCCAAATCTCTTCCCAGCATGACAAGTATGACACAAAGAGACATGTTTCTTCCCCACATAAGTAACTCCTGGGGACAGCCCAGGAATGATGCCTCAGTTTTTTCATAAGTGTAACCAAGTGTGAGGTATTTGAAATTAACTTTAGTGCCAATTAAATGCATTTCCTTCTTTCGAATGGACACAAGATGCACCATGGCCTTAGATCATGCTAGTTCCAGAGCCTGATATTCTGGCATCAGATGCTGACCTCACCACAGGGCCTTGCAGGCCTTCACCTGAAGAACAAATATGGCTAAACTGGGGAAAGGGTGTGTGCAAGCCCACCCGCCCCATCCCCCAACTGGAGACAGTGTGATGTAGTGGTTAGTGAGCCAACCCTGCTTCTAGTCCCCACATGACCATGAAGCTCACTGGGTGCTTTTGGGCCATTCACTGAACCTCAGCCTAACCTACCTCATGGGGCTGCTGCCAGGATAAAATGGAGAGGAGAATCATGTGAGGAAAAGTAGCTAGATATAAACACAGCAATAAACAAAATACCGGAAGAGGCTCCAGCCTGTACTCTAGCATAGCCAATCCTCAGGCCTGGATAAAACATTAAAATATTGATTCAGAGAGACATTCCTCCATCCCCAGGACCTTAATACAGAAAATGGGGACACCAGAGAGACAATGGAGTCTCATCAGGCACTGCTGTATATGCCATTAAGCAAAGGCCTTGAAATATCAACCAACTGAGATAATCTTTATGCCTCCACCAGAGCAGTTATTGATAAAGGTGCATTAATTCCTGGTTAAGAAGGAGTAGACAGGCTTCCTGTAACTTGAACAAGTAGGAGGCCGGTGTATATTGGAGCAATGCAGTGGGCTCGAGGTTTTGGTAGTCAAACAAGCGTTATTTCAATCCATGATTTTATTGAATAGCACATGACAGGAAGCAAGAGCAGGAAGTGCCTTTAATATTATGGCCAGATCTCAGAATCAAACACACTGCAAAGGTAAAAGGGGCTTTACAGTCTGTCAGCTGGAGATTCTCCTGTTCCTTCCACTAATCTTTCATGGGTGCTTCTTTAAAGAAAAGGAAGTTTCCAACACTCAGCAGTACAGAAAGAATACTGAAACTGGTTTCTGCTAAGCCAGTCTGAGATGACTGATACCATCTGGTAATAATGAGGCAGCACATCTTCATCTAGTATAGGTAAATCCTTATTTTACTAAATCTGCTTATCCTTGACTGATGGTATTCTATGAACTGCACTCATTCTTCAGCAGTCCACAATGGAAATAATGGGAAACCTGCCAAAGGCTGTCCCTATCACAAGCATGTCACAAAAATAAGCCAAGCTAGTGTGCGTAACCGAATCCTAGTGTAAAATGTGCATGGGTTGGCTGTGAAACTAGGGACTGAATGACTGCATGAGACCAGTATTCTTCTGCATGCAGGGCTCAGAGCACGTATGAGCAAACCTGGGCCTATAAACCTTTGACATGCTCTCCACGGAGTGCCAGACAACAGTTCCTTGCCATCCAGCTAATTAGCCATAGCTTATTAGGAGTGGGAAACAACACTCCTAATTGGGATTGTTGGGACTGGGCGAAAGAAGCTTTAATGTACATCCCTTGCCAACAATGCAAGGAATGTACATTGTTTCTTAAGAGCTAACAAAGATCCAACAGATTGGGGTGGAGGATGAGGGTAAAATCTCATTGGGGTTGGGGGCATTTCCCCACTGTTATTAGCAACAAGGGAAGATCTTGGCAGATCAGGAATCGTGCTGGAGTCTCTTAAAGCATCTCATGACCCTTCCAACAGAATGGAGAAGCAGTGAACTGCAGGGTGCTGTCAGTCACTTCTCTGCAGCTATTTGGAAATGAGGGCAAGCCAAAAGTTGTTCAAGTAAAGCCTTGTTGCATTATCAGAGTTTACAGGTAGCTGTGTACTGGGCATAAAGAAGCTAGTGTGTGAGTCCTGGCCTTCTGAATCGATTCAGGCCTGTAATCGATTACCCTGTAATCTGTCAGTCCTGGAGAGTATTGGCTGCTGTCTGAAATGAAAACCTGCTGAACCTAATGCATCAGTGTTTATAAGACAAGACATACAATGGACATCATATATGGTCAATTGCCTGACCGTGTGACTGAACACTGAGGTTCCTCTTTATCTAGAATGCAGCAGCGTAATTTATACATGCACACATTTTTCTTAGGCTCTGATTATTGAAACAACTACAGTGGCAAAAGCCCATAGGCTGTAAAGTTTGAAAAGCTGTTCAAGAATGAAGTGAATATGGTACATCGTCCTTGGAACTGCAGCTGCAAAACTTCTATTTGGACTTACTCCAAAACAGAAAATACTTCTCTTTTTTGCTTTGGAATAACTCCAAACCATTCTCTCCACTGCACACACTTTCGTGTAAATTAGAATGGGAGTATTTATTAAAACACTAACCATTATGAGCAATTTGAGGTGGCTGGGTAGCAGGGATGACTGTAAAGTGACACACTGGGCGGAATCCAATGGGGTGCTTACACTTTCACCAATTCCCCCTTGTGTAGATGGGGCACACCATTTGCAAAGATTTCATACTTCCAGGGCAATTGGAAACAACCAAAAACACAGGCCTCTGGACCAAAGAGCTCCGCTGACCTGTCCCTATCAAGAAACTAGCACTTTCACTGGTTTTGGGGTTTCCTCTGGAAAGTGCTAAACCTGTGTTGCACAAGCAGTGGGCCCTGCTCACACAAAGCAGCTGGTAGCACCGACTGTTTGCACAACAGAACCAGTGGCCTGTCAGAAAATCAACAGAGCCACATGTGATCTGTTGGATTCATTGAATTCTATTCTTAATGGTCCCTCAGCCTTTCTAAAAGTGAATGTCACTGCTGGCCCTAGGCTCTGACTGCCTCATGTGCCCTGGTCACCCAGGTCCTACTCAGAGTGGAACATCAGAAGTGAGTGGGTGAAGAACCAAGTGCCTGCTTTGCAAACATACGACATAAAAAGTACGGAATCAGCAGACAAAAAGTTCTGGAACTTTTAGCCCAGAACAAAGAACAACTTTCAATGCAAGACAGACCTACAGAGATTAAGAAGCATACTTTGTGGTTTCATTCTCATGTCTCAGTTGTGCCCTAAAACATTCAAGATGGAGTTCCCCCTCCCCTACATATGGATTCGTTTCCTCTCCACTTTCTTTGACAAAATCAGAGCCCGACACAAACAAGGATAGGACGTTGGTTGGCATAGAAACGACTCATTTACAGTTCCTGGGGTGTCGGTCATCCACGTGTCTGATTTTTTTAGTCCTTTGTTTAATAACTTGGCTTATGACCTTGAGTTTGCTTTCCACCCCAATCCTTTCTTTATCCGCAGTGCTGCACCACAAATTACAAGTGGTCGTGGTGGTCTACCCATTTCCTTAAAAGCAAGTTAAATGCTCTTCAAGATGTAGGGACAAAATATTGCACTTTTTCATATACCTGAGAAGTGTCACAAACCCACTACAGGAGCACAACCCTGAGTGAAGGTAAATATGGGTTGTGAGGCACAGAACAGAAATAAGTTTGCATTTATCAAGGTTGTGCAAAAAAAAAGCACCTGGGCACTGCAACTGCAGGCTGACCACACTCCATTGTTGTAAAGTAACCAAATTCTTCTCTCTTTATGGAATAAATCACAGTGCCAACAAGACATTTTGGTTTTGCTTTGCTATGCCCAAATGAAATCTTTCGACTTCAGCTGTAGTTTTCTCCTCGTTAACAAGGCCACACTTTTAGCCTGGGGGTGTTCTGCCACTAGCTCTCGGAAAGAGTTTATTTATTTGGTGGAGGGATGGTGTGTTTATTTGGTGGAGGGATGGTGGAGGAGGAAGATGTTCCATAATTTTTCCAGGACAAAAGGGAGTGAGCACTGATAAGGGAATGCAAAGTTTCTATTATCTTCTAATTTAATATAACTACATGCAAGTGAAGGAATATGATGGGTAACAGACCTGGTCATTCATAAAGTAAGGAAACAGGGTTTTTTTAATGGCTTAGGGAAATTTCCTCTTAGGATACAAAACATATCCCTAATCCTATGCAAAACATATGCATATGTCTTATTTCTGTAAGAATTTATATCTGACTCTTCTAGCGCTAACACAACATTCGGGGTGGCTTATAGCAATTAAGACAAATTACAAAATACAGCCACATTCCATGTTTACTCAAAGGAATGCCAAAATAGCAATAAAACAAAATCGACAAGATCAACAGATAGTAAAGACATCAGATAGGATAGCTTCCCAATAAAGCAAATGCCTGCTAAAATGGTATATAGTAATATATATATATATATTATTTGAATCAGTTTTACCTATGTTCAACACTCTGAATTATTTATTTATTTAGTCATTCATTCAATTTATACCCTGCCTTTTTCCTACAAAGGGCTCAAGGCAGCTTACATCTTCTCCTCCATCTTATCCCCACAACAACAAGCCTGTGAGGTAGGTTGGGCTGAGAGTCTGTGACTGACCCAAAGTCACCCAGTTGGCTCCACAGCTGAGCGGGGACTAGAACCCAGATCATCTGAATTCCAGTCCCATGCTCTTAACCACTACACAACACTGGCTCTCTATTACTTAATGATAAATTAATGATAAATTAAATTAGTTAATGATAAAGTAATTTATTACTTAAATTACTTAATGATTTATTACTTAAGGTATACGTAAGGTCTAATGAATGAAGTCATTCTTGAGCCTTAGAATGACCATGTTAATTATCCTAAAACAACTCTCCAGCAGTGCAGTAACATCCCTGGAAAATTTCCAGAAGACCCTGTGTTTAGGGTCTTCCAAACAGAGTGGTCCTGGTGTTAAAAACCAGAAAGCATCGTGCAGCTATTCCATAACGAAGAAAATGAAAGAAATGGTGAGAAAACAAACGCAGAAGCAA